CCTTCCACAGTCCAAAAACATGCATGTTAGGCTGATTGGTAACTCTAAATTGTCCCTAGGTGAGAGTGAGAGAGTGAATGGTTGTTTGTCTCATTTGTCTCTATGTGTCCCTGTGATGGACTGGAGACCCGTCCAGGGTGTATCCCGCCCCTCGTACAGTGATTGCTGGACATGGGCACCGGTGACCCCCGTGACCTAAAATGGAAGAAGCAGGTAAAAGATAATGGATGGATTAATGCGCCTTATGGTCCAAAAAATACAGTATTGAGCCTAACAAAATGTTGTTTTTATAAAACACAGAAAGACTAAAATAATAACACCAATATTAGGAAAAGTCAAATGAATTGGGTCCTTGGCTGAACAGTTCAGATATGTTTTGTTTGTTCTCAAGAGTTCGGTTGTCCAGAATCTGTCCGTTCACCTCCAGACAGACCATAATCAGACGGTATTATTTATAACTGGTGTTGTTCACTTCACCAGAGAGCGTCCAGCTGAGTTCATACAGAACTTGGCCAGATTTATTTCAGAGCTGATTGATAACATGTGCAGACGCTCTCTAATGAGGTCCCTGACTTATTAGGATCACTTACTCCAATCAAGCTATTTACAACTTCCACTTAGAAAACCAGAGCTGCAGTGTGTGTGTCCATGTGTGTGTGTGTGTTACATATTATCTTACATTTTATAATCACCTAACTTGTCAGGATCAATGGTCCTTATGGGACCAAAGCCTGTCCCTAAGACTGTGGATTGTAATTTTTAGGATAGATTAGTATCTCACTCAACTGTGCCTGTTGGAGACCAGTTGAAAACTCACAATTGTGAGAAAAATTGATGAATTTCCAGTTGCAGTCTTACTGAAGTCTAAGTGTTTGCAACCAGCGAGCCATGTGCCTACATTTTTCCTGTCCAATGTTTAAAAATCATGGCCTATTTTCATGTGCACAGCATATAAATCATTTTTTACACCATGCACATTACTTTGGTGCCCACCTCTGCCAAGACTGTACTCACCTCATCCTGTTGTGTACCCAGCTTGAGTGCATGTTTATAATAAACTGGAGTAAATTTTAGAAATTAAGAGAAGTAGAGTTTAGTTTCCAACAGTTGCAGCCCAGTCAGATACCTTTAGGGTCTGGGTTAGGCTATAGAAATGAATGGAAGTCAATACGGTGTCCTAAAAAGAATAGAATTACAAACATGTGGTGTGTGTGTGTGTGTGTGTGTGTGTGTGTGTGTGTGTGTGTGTGTG